AGTGTGTGGGAGAGGGGCAGAGAGAGTTCCAAGCAGGCTCCATGCCGCCAGCTCAGAGCCCGACATGGGGCTCCATCCCATGACAGCAAGATTGTGACCCCAGTAAAAATCAAGTGTGGGACGCTCACTTGACTGAGTTACCCAGGCGCCCCTTATCCATGGTTTGGACGGGACTCTTGATAAGCAAGAGGAAGGACTCAAGCAGGTCTCTTGACCTTGGTGGCTTGAACAAAGAGGTGGATTACAAGTACCGAAATATGAAATGAGCAGGGTGGAAGGGTCAGATCGTGGTGAGAAATCATAAACTCCATTTAACGTTTAACTAATGTATTTTTTAGATGTCAAGCACAATGCCTGACCTCGAGTAGACCTTCAGTAAATGACAGATGTTGTCATTGCTGTTATTACCACCTTTACTATAAAAGCTGACCAGTCCTCACCACCCCACCCTGCCACAGGTAACCTCCCAAGTCCTTTCCGCAGCAACCACATTAAAAGGCTAAGTATTACTCCTTTACGTAAGATTTAGGTATGAACAGGGAAATGTCCTGCTGATAGCTACCACTTCATGGTGTGAGTGGACAGGGGAAGGAAAGCAAAGGGAGGGGAAAGGAGGAAATGTTCTAACTAGTAGACAATTATTGCGCGCATTATTACAGATAACCTTACAACAATCATGTTAAATTGGTGGAATTATCCCATTTTACAGATGAAATAAATAACTCGCCCTATGTCTTAAAAAACTTGAGTGAATTGGGGCGCCTGAGTGGCTCAGTCGGTTGAGCGTCCAACTTCGGCTCAGGTCATGATCTCACGGTTTGTGGGCTCAAGCCCGGCGTCGGGCTCTGTGCTGACAGCTCAGAGCCTGGAGCCTGCTTTAGATTCTGTATCTCCCTCTCTCTCTGACCCTCCCCTGCTCACGCTGCCTCTCTCTCAGAAATAAATAAAACATTAAAAAAAAACTTGAGTGAAAATTCAGACCCAGCTCTGTCCTGACTCCATCCTATTTGGGCTTTCTACTCTAAACTCTACCTGTAATGCCAAGCAATAGACTGCTTTATCTTTCTTATGTCAGAATGATGACCTAAATAGACTGTAGGCAATACCCAACAATATCCAGACTAGTGACTTTTAACCTTTTTTTTATAATGGTGTTTTTTTTTTTTTTTAATTTCTAGGAGAGAGAGAGAGACAGCGTGAGCAGGGGAGGGTCAGAGAGAGAGGGAGTCACAGAATCTGAAACAGGCTCCAGGCTCTGGGCTGGCAGTCAGCACAGAGCCCGACGCGGGGCTCAAACCCACGAACTGCGAGATCATGACCTAAGTGAAACTCGGACGCTTAACCGACTAAGCCACCCAGGCGCCCCTTAACCTTTTTTATCCTGACTCAGAGCAAGAGCCACTTTTCACACAACAAGCCATATTTACATTTATACATATGTCTCTATATATGTACACATGCGTCACACATCTGTATGTACAGCAGTATGACTGAGACTAATTTTCAAGAAATAACACTGTAGGGGGTCCCTGGGTGTCTCAGTCGATTAAATGTCCCTCTGACTCTTGATTTCAGCTCAGGTCATGATCCCAGGGTTGTGGGATTGAGCCGGACATTGGGCTCCAGGCTGAGTGCAGAGCCTGCTTAAGATTCTCTCTCTTTCCCCTTGCTCCTCTCCCCTGCTTGTGCTCCCTCCCTCTCTCTCTCTAAAATAAAATTTAAAAAAGGAAATAACTCAGTGAGATAGGTATTATCAATTTTCAATCTCTATGAATACAGTCTGATACTCTTCATTCATTGCAATGAATATATATTAGGATCCACAGAATTGATTTCACAATCAACTTTTGGGTCTCCACTAGATCGCTGGAAAATCCTCTACATTCCCTTTCTTTCCTTGGAATTCACTCACGAACACCATCGCAATTCCAATTAGAAGGAGAGAAGGTGAGAGCGGGATTCCTGGGTACTTTGTGTATACACATCTTTAGTGGTACATTTACACTTGCCTACCCTGCAGATTTGTAAGGGCAAATATATTACAGTAGAGATGAAGAACTTACTTAAATTTTTTTAATGTTTATTTATTTTTGAGAGACAGAGCATGAGGAGGGGAAGAGCAGAGAGAGGGAGACACAGAATCATCCAAAGCAGGCTCCAGGCTCTGAGCTGTCAGCACAGAGCCCGACGTAGGGCTCGAACTCACGAACCGTAAGATGATGACCTGAGCTGAAGTCAGATGCTTAACCGACTAAGCCACCTAGGTGCCCCTAAAGAAACTTTTTAAAAAATGTTTCCTTATTTTGAGAGAGGCGGAGAGAGACAGAGTGCAAGTGGGAGAGGGGCAGAGAGAGAGGGAGACACAAGGTTCGAACTCATGAAACTGTGAGATCATGACCTGAGCTGAAGCCAAAAATCAGAAGCTTAATCAACTAAGTCACCCAGGTGCCTTGCCCCTTAGGAAAGTTTTGAAAGCAAAGATTGACATCAACTAAAGGCGAAAAGGCTCAGATTTGGGGGAAGTGATCGGACTCATTTTGAGAAACACAAGATGAAGTTGAGAGTAAAGAGGTTCAGCTTCATTTTAAAAATGGTCACCAAAATTATTCATGTCATAGAAGTTGAAAATGACTCCTCAAAAGTTCTTACTTCTCTATAGAGAGCAAAATGATAGGTATCAACACACCCCTCCCCCCTCGTCCCATATTAGTTATCTCAGTTCTGTATACATTTATAGGGAGCACCGGGTAAAGGAGCTTAAATATCTAGGGTAGGTTGATTTCTAGAAATGCCAAAATGCGGGCTAAGGTTTAATTATATTGACAGGTATATGTGTGCTGTTGCTTACAAGTACCTGTCTTCAGATGACCCTGAAATATAATATCACCTCTGAGGAGCTGGGTGGCAATTAGCGAGGCCTTGCCACATCCAGGGTGGGGAAACAGCGTGGAAAGGTTAAATGCTTTGCCCCTAGGTCATCTGATGAGTCAAGAAGAAAGACTCATGATTGGTGCTGGAGACTTAGTCCTCTGCCACCCGGGCTCCTGCCACCCTGTTTACTTGACTTCTTGCTCAATCTCTTGCCCAAAAGTATTTATGTGGAGAACAGGCTGCTTCCTAATATACGTGGCACAGTTGGTATTAGTTAGGTACCGCATGACCAATAATACATTGAAATTCTCAAATATACCAGGAAAATCAACTCCAAAATGTCCATTTTTTAAATTGAGTTTCATGTCTCTATAGATGTGATGATATATTAGTAAAGCCTGCCACTGCTTTAACTAAAGCTATTGGGGTTCCCAGCATCTCAGAGCACACATCTGGTATACCTCTGGCGTCCATGCAGGAGCTCAGGCCTGGTCATACTGACTCAGTGTGCAGCACTGTTGACACTTCAGCACCATGCCTCCTTACTCTCAAGCGAACACTTCCTCATTCTTTTTCTTTCCTTTCAAATCTAGTGTCATCAGGGATTACTTTTATAAATGTAACTACTTTTTAACAAGTTTTCTTTTTTTTCAATTTTGAACTTTCCTGTAAAGGCTATTCATCCATTTGCATGGATAGGTGCTCCCAGTAATTAATGCTGTAGGAAGGACATTTCAAGGACATGCTCTTATCCCCTCCTTTGATGTGGACTCAGAAGGAAAAACAAAAACAAAAGCAAATAAGACAGGCCTCTAAAACAAGCAAGGGCTCTCTCCCTGGGGCATTTCACCTGCTTTTTTTTTTTTTTTTTTTTTTTTTTTTGGTACCGCTCAGCCCTTTAACAAAGAGTCAGTTTCCTTGTGGTTTCTTACCTGTTACACAAAGTGATCGGTCACCAAATCAGAAGTGACGTGTATTGTCATCTCCCAGAGAAAACTGAGTGGCTTTTAAAGAAAGAATCATAAAAGGATAAATACCTCCACAGGGCTATTTCCCTAATAAAATAAACCCGTCATGGAACTTGTCCTTGGAGAAACACACACAGGGAGTGTTTGTTGGCTAAACGGTTAAAGCATAACATTTAGTTTTGAAACTGGCCCTTCCCTGTGCTCTCACTATAAGGCGACCATTAAAACCCAAAGCGCATTTTCCCTAAATAGCTGAACCCCCTAGCAATGCGGGGCATTGTGGGCACCCAGGAACCGAACTGTCCCGCTCATCATGAAAACCGTGCACACAATGGCTCGTGCCCAAGCTTTCACACTTGTTTTTGCAACTCTTGGCTCAGAGCAGCGGAGTTTTGTTTCTCGGATGGCTCGACTTCACCAGGGGCGAGGTGCGGATTGTCTAACGACACCGACTGCTCGCGAACGCTTTCGACGAGAGTAGCTCCGAGATCCACTTGGCCGAGTTTCTGCGGCCGAAAATGGTTCAGTGAATGGAGCGATTGGAAGCTTGCGCAGGCGGGAGGCGCAGCGCGGCTGCTCTTTCAACAGGCGATTTGTTCCCCTGTCTGTGGCTCATTTCCATGCAAAGAGCCTGACATCAGAGCACCTTTTGTTGCTAAACGCTTTCTTTAGCATCGAGGGGAGAGAGAGTCATGTGGAGCTGGAAGAGCTCATTCTCGAAAGAGGGGTCCCGAGGAGCGCCCGGCCGGTCGCAGAGGCACCGCGCTCAGCCCAGCGGGGCCCTGCCCAGATTTGCTGCAAGAAATGAGTCGCGTGCCGTAGTTCGTTGGTCGCGGCCACAGGAAGAAACGCCTTTGCAGCGGCTTTAATTGCGCCTGGGCCGCCGCAGGGCCCCGCCGTGCAGCTCGGTGGTGCGGACTTTGCCTTCTGCTACCCCGCGGCCGGGCCGGGCCGGGAAAGTTTCTGGAGGGGTCCGTCGCGCGGCCCGCCGCCCCCGAGAGCCGAGGCGCGGGCGCCCGCTCGGGGCCCCCGCGGGGTCGCCGGGGCCATGCGGCGCGGGGGCGCGGCTCGCTGACGCGGCGGGCGGGGACCGGCGCCGGGGAGCCGGCGGCGCGCGGGTGCGCAGCGAGGGCGCCCCGCGGACCGGGACGCACGGCGGGCGCGCGGGACGCGGCCATGGAGGACGCGGGCGCGGCCGGCCCGGGGCCGGAGCCCGAGCCCGAGCCCGAGCCCGAGCCCGAGCCCGAGGGCAGCGCCGGCATGTCCGAGGCGTTCTCCCGGCTCTGGACCGACGTGATGGGCATCCTGGTGAGTTACCTGGGGCGGGAGGGCGCGGGGGGGGGGGTCGGGGCGCGGGGCAGCCCCCGGGCGACCCGCGCTCGCCCACCGGGCAAGCCCACCCCTCCGACTAGTCCTTCCTTCGCTCCAGGTCCCAGGGGGTTAATGACACACGGTCTAGGATTTCGAGCCCCAGCCACAGATCACATCAAAGATATTTCTTAAACAGTCGGGTATGATAATCCGGGACACCTGCTGAGGACTTGGCGTGGCAGGCGTTAGAAAGAGTCCTTCAAAGAGTAGATGTAAATAAATAGTACTTGGCTGTTGTGCTTTCGCGGTTGGATTGGGAAGGAGGCTGATGTTACTGATGTTTATCTCCCCACCATTTGTTGTCTGACCGCGAGAGGAAAACAAACCGTCTTCCTACCCGGGGCCCCCCAAAAGTGTGCTTACCTGTTTGCCGTGTTTCAACTAACTGGTAGAATTACTGGATGTTTGTTGTTTTATGTTTGGAACTAAAAACGATAGGACTTGTTTGGCTAGATCTGTACTGTCATGTATTTTGAAATGTCCAGTAAGTAAAACCGCCCGTGGATTTGGCATAATTTCTGAAAAATAGTTCTTAGGGACGGAGGATGCAGCTTTAATTTACTTGTTCGTGGCTCAGAGCCCTGGGGAATTAGGAGATTTACTTTGGTGGAACTGTAGGTACGCAGGTAGACTGGAATCAGATGGGTGGGGGTTATTACAGTAAGACATCTTAATCCACACATAAGTCAAATTTAGTTTAAAGATTTGGAATTGGCGGTTGTAGGAAAAGGCTCTATGTTTACTTTGGGATCTTTTAGTTTTCTAATGGAAAGTGTAGTTTTAGAAAGAAACTCTTTGGGGATGATGATAAGTGCACAGGCATTAAGCTTTTGTTTTGGGCTTTGGAGTGAGTGAGGCTGGGTCAAATCCCCACTCTCCCATTGATTGACTACTTGACCTTGGCCAAGGTGTTAAACCCCACTGATCTTCAGTTTCATGACCTGAAAAATGAGGCAAAGAAGACTTGCTCCTTAAATTTTCTGAGGCTTAGTTAAGTTGATGTGTAACTAGTGGTGGACATATTGACATATAGTAGGTACTCAATAAACAATAACTCTCTATCTCCCCCCCCCCATTTAGTCTTGTGTCTCCTCTTAGGTGTTCATTGGTGTTTCCTCTTATTCCTGTACAGAAAACCAGGGAAGATGGGTCAAAGATATCTGCTTTTCTCACTCTCCAGTATTTTTTTCAAGTATATAAACAAATTTTAAACTTCGAATTTTTGCATATTCTGAATACCACTGATGAAAATGGGCCTTCAGTGAAATTTCAGAAAACCCAGTGAATATTTTAAAGTTGCAGAGATAGATTGTTTTTTAAGTTCTTCGAGCCCGAAGCTTATCTTGTTATTTCTTGCTTAGATCTTGCTCTGTAAGTTTTTAGTCACTGAGAAAATTGGTCTGATAACATCACCATGAATCCCTTACCAGGGTGTGGCTGTAGACGGCAGAGCTGTGGGGGCTCACCTAAATGGGGGTGTGGTCAGGGTTGTTTGGGGGGGCGTTGGCAGATGGCACTTTTCTGAAGATTTGCTTTTCCCTTCCCTGGCAGATTCCTGTGCTGTTGGGATAGGAGTAGCAGAGTGTTCTTTGGTTGATTTAAAAGTTGGGGTGGAGCTTGAGAAGCTCAAACCTGTTATTCAAAGGACAGATACAGGAGAAAAGAAAATATGTGCTTCTTAAAGAGCCAATAGTTCTGTGTGAGGCTGGAAAGAATGTAAATGAGTGTCCCGAAGCGATTATGTTCCCTTCTGTTTTCCCATCTTTTAGACCATCTTCTTTGCCTTTGAGGTAAACATGGGTATCAGGATTGCTCCTTAGTAAAATTCTGAAGAAGATGTGGCTTCTCTCTCCTTTATGCGTTTCTGTAAAAAGTCACCAGGTTAAAAGGATCTTTATTCTGCTTTTAGAAAACTGTTGTCCAAGTGGTTATTTCTAGAAACTGTGTTTCTAGAAATATATCGACACAAAATATATTGACACAAAATTGATAGTTGACTTTCTCTGTTCTTTGAGATAAACAAAGATGCAATTTCCTTCATTTTTAAAATTAGACTTTGCAATCTATTAGCTTACACAAGTGAAGTGACTTGACCAGTGGTACACATACACCTTGTTAGTGACGATGACAGATTGCACCCCAGTGCAATCTCTGATCTATACCAGTCAGGCTGATGCCATGATACCCCATAGTTAGCCATCCCAGCTCAACTTAGTAGAAAAATAATTACATTCACTGTTTTATTTATGTATGTTTTAACATTTATTTACTTTAAGAAAGAGAGAGAGAGAGCAAGTGGGGGAGGTGCAGAGAGAGAGGGAGACAGAGAGAATCCCAAGCAGACTCTACACCGTCAGCGCAGAGACTGACGCGTGAGCTGAAGTTAGACGCTTAACCAACTGATCGACCCAGGTGCCCCCACATCTGCATTTTAGGAAAATGCTACTTTAAGTACTGAACTTGAGGAGGCAATAGAGGTACTGAGGGAATTACACATTGAAACCTACTTTAAAGAATTCAGGCACAGTTGCTGCTTTACTTTTTGGATTCCTCCAAGTGTAGAAATCAAACCTCCAAACCCATTAAGTTAAAACTTGTTTAGGTGAATGAACATAGCTTCCTTTTCCGATTTGAGAGGCGCCAAGTATCCACCCGCAGATTTCCCGAAGTTCTAACCCCGGGAAGGGTGTTGCCCCAGAGGCATAGATCTCAGTAAATGCAGGGTGCTTGTTTGAGTTCATTGGGACATATTCTGCATTTAAATTAATTAGGTCCTGCACAGTTCTGAACCAACCAGTTGCTTTTAGATAATTGTTAACAAAATGCTTATTTAAAGAAGAAATAATCGTATAATTTATGGCATGAGAATGTTCGAGCTGTGCTAGAATAAATAAATGCTGATAAGTGAATATGCAAATAGAGAATTAAGAGAACACAGCTTACCGAAACACTATCCATTGTTAGTGCCTGGTGGGCAGGGTCAGTATTTTACTCCCTTTTTTTTTTTTTTTTTTTTTAATCTCCAGTGCCTGGGACTTACTGGATCCTGAGAACATGGTTTTATTGAATGGAAAAGGAAAAAAAAAAGTATATACTTCTTAAATACAGGAGCCACATGAAAATACAGTTCTAGGGACTGTGCTCACTAGAAGGGGGTGCATTTATGAAGATGTATTTATGAATTAATAAATTCTGTCCTTGCTCGAGCAGTTTCACCATGCAAACCAGAATCCTGGTGCTTCCGCTGGAAATGGTAATGGCAACTTGTGAAATGTTTGTAAACCCTGGGCAATCAGCTCATGACTTTTTTTTTTTTTTTATCTTTACTCCATGCTGCAGACACAACATTCCTTTTTTTGTTTTTTTGGTGGGGGAGGGTAGTTGTTTGTAAGAGTAGGAATTGCTAAGGTTATTAGATATGGTAGATCACTTTCCCAGCCCTGATTGTCCATTTGGTATGTTGTGATGGTTCTTACTAAGTTTTTCCTTCAGAATTGGAGGACTTCTTCAAGTTGAGCCAGTCCTTCAAAGCTGCTGGCTCCCTGGGAAGGGAGGAGAAGGGAGTTAGTAAGTGCCTATTGTTTGCAAGATCCTGCACAATGCACCTCCCCCAAACCTTATATTTCCTCTGTTCCCTGCTCTGTTCCTACAATTTACATCCATTTCCTAGCAATGCTTAGAGAATATCCATTGTATGGAGATACTGTGGACCATCCCCCATTCTTATTCCTATATAAGCCATAGTCTGTGCATAGTAGACTTCAGTCCAAAAACTGTTAGGTTTATCCTGTCTTGTTATTTACGAAAGAATGTCCCCATTTGAAAAAAAAAAAAAGATCCCCCCCTTGCTTTGTAGTTTTAGGCAAAGTGTGGGGGAGGGGAGATGTTTAGTAGGATCCCTAGGGGGCTTTTAAAATGCAAGCTCCTTTGAAAGCATTGATTTACATATTCTTGGGGTGGTGTCTTTGGTGCAGCCCGTCGGCTAAAGACTTAATTAACTTTAGGTCTTGGAATTTGAGAGTCAGCCCCAGTTTCAAATATTCTGACTTCATCTTAATTTTATGTTCCTGTTCCCCAGCTGAAAGCCTTGTGGCTTTCATAAGTGGAAGCTGCAGGGTGATGTAGCAGGGAGCGGAGAGACCTTGGACGTGAGCCCTCCACCCCCTCATTTACTGGAGGAATTAAGGGCTCAAGGTCCAAAGCAGGGCTCAGAACTCCAGCCTCCTGATTTTCAATTCTGTGCCAGAGACCAAATTAAGTCTCATAATTCTGGTGGGGGTCACTAAATCTTTTGCTGTCGGAAGAGACCCCTGCACTGCGGTGACCTTTCACGCTCCCCTTCTTCCCACTTTCTGCCTTCATGTGCCCTCCTCTACCATGTAGCTCTTCCCTCTTCTAGCTGACTTACGAGCCACATTCTGGTTTTTCACTGTTGACTCCGACTCTGACAGAATGCAGCTTATGGGGGGGAGGGGGAGGGGGAGGCCATGCTCCCAAGCACGGAGTCCAGGTGCCACCCTGAGTCCTTCCCACACTTAACTTACTAGATCCATTCTTGTGACCAATGAGCATTATTGTCCACATTTTCCGTGGAGACCTACCCATGACTGTCCTAAATCACATAGATAGTAAACAGGCACTGGGATTTGGGTCAGGCATTGTTGGGCAGTAATCAACTTGTAGTCGCAGTTTTATAGTTCATTCTTAGCGACACTTGCCCCTGACTTCCAGAAAGACAACATTTTGCAGGGAAAAGGAGCAGCAGCCCCTCCCCCCCCACCCCATATCCCTTCTGTGAATACACGCCCAGCCCCACAGTGCAGTGGGCAGCCCGAGCGCAGAGTGGGGGTGGGGTGGGCACCTCACAGGAATGCCATTCCGTGTAGACCCTGGCCCGGAGTTAGGCTTTCCCCGAGAGTGTTCTCCACTGAGGGCTA